GTGGCCCACTCCTGTAATCCCAGCTCTTGGGAGGCTGTAAAATGGTGGATCACTGTGAGTCTGATCTAGTAGTGAGACCCTGAACACTCTGCAGAGCCTTCCCTAAAAATAAAAAAAAAACCAAAAACCACAAATTGGTAGAAGTGAAGAACTAAATGTGTTCATTGACATGCTTCTCAATGTGGCGCATGTGCAGATACCACTTACATCACAGGCACAACCAAGCCACACAGCCCGGGATCTAAGTGAGAGCTGTTTAGTGTGGGATAATCAGAAAAGTTTCACACAAGTCATCGTGTTAACAATACGACCTACTTCATAAAAACCGTTGTCTTAATTCTTAATTCAGTTTACCAATTCTATAGTTAATAATGTTTGTGTATGAATTTTTTCTATTATTATCTGCCATTATAAGCAGAGTTTAAAAATACTTATTATTATATGTTTGTGGTCCATAATACATCTATTCCTTGGGAGATACTAGTATTTCCCTCCCCTCCCCACAAATTAGATTTCTGTTGAATCCTTGAAAGTGACTATGATTATGGTGATGGGGGGAAGTTTTCTGGGGTGCGGAGAACCTGCAGAGAGGTAGGACTGCACAGGTGCAGGGTCGGTGCCCACACTACCGTAGGTGCAAAAGTTGGGGGGAACCAAAAGAGCAAGGCACTCAGAGGCATGAAATATTATTTGTTTATTTTTATTTTGTAATATATTTGGTTGTTACAGGTCTCACTACACAGCTCAGACTTGTGACTATCCTCCTCCTTTCAGCCTCCCCAGGGCTAGGATTACAGGCATCCACCACCATGCCTGGACTCTGGCTCAGCCCTCCCTGGGGGTGGGGCTGGTATGACATGTGGTTTTGGGGACCGAACTGCGGTCCCTGTGCTTGCTTAAGTTTGCCTAAGCAGCCCCTTTAGTGCACTGGCTGAGCTATTTCGCTAGCCCCCTAAAATACCATTTAAAAGGTGAAAAAAGTACAGACATCAAAATACACCTGGATGGCCACACCTGGAAAGGAGGCCTCTCCACTAGAGAAAACCAACGAGTGTATTTATTGTACTGTGCACTAAGGAGTGAGCAAGAGGATTTCTGAAGAATTTCCTCCTTACTGACCTCTAAGTGTTAGAAGTTGGTTCTCGCTGTGGTTTTAACTTTCTTGCACCCTTTGCGTACGGCCTGGGCCTCAGTGTCATGGGTTCTGGAGTATACTTAGTCCAGTAAAAACAAAACTGTTCTAAAAGCAAGGTGAGAGTATCTTTGTCCACCCAGGAGCCTGCATTTCTATTTTCTTTCCTCTGTACCTTCTCAGCAGCTGTGCAGGTTGACAGATGCATGGGATGTTTGTGCTTACCTCAGAACCCAAGACTTCTGCAAGTCTGTGGCTTCCAGGAAAGTGTTGTCTGTGTTGCTCCTAGCAGCCCTTGCAAATAGCTTCATTGTTCTTCTAGTTGGCAGCTTCACTCTGTTGTGATTTTATGGAGCAATAAATGCTTCCTATGAGCTAGATTTACTCAGCACATTTAGATGAACTATTTATTAGTAAGCACATAATATATGGGAGAATAGAAAACACAAATTTATCCCAAGATGTAAAATGAAAATGATTTTAAAAACTCACTGCGGCATTTCCCTTTTAATAGCCACATTGTTAAGTTATTTCCCAGCCCCACATATGTGGGAGGATTCTACATGTTGTGTATCAAGGTGCGTGTGTGTGTGTGTGTGTGTGTGTGTGTGTTGTGGGCTGGGTACTACAGGCCTGGTAAATATAATTATGAATACATTAAAGGCAATTAAGCGACATGATTTTGATTAGGTATATTGTCAAACTGTATTAGCCACTGGAAGTATGGGGGAAGATCCTCCAGTTGCTCAAGGTTTAATTTACTGTGCCACACTAGTCCTTTCTCTGAAGCTGACAAATCAGTTTGAATAAGGCATTGTATTGCATTACATGAAACTGCATTCTTCTCTTGATACGCAGGGCGCTTCCGCCACCGGTGCCCTCAGTGCGGCAGGCTGGCCGTGCGGGTGAAGTCTTACCATTACCCTCAGTACCTGCATAAACACGGAGCACTGCCCCACGAGCCGGACCTCCCCGTGGCTCCACTTCCTTGGCGCTGCTCAGGGCCCGGCAACCACCCCGTGACTCTGGAATCCCAGCTGAGCCGTAACAGCAGATGTCCCTGGCCCAGGCAGCCGCGTAGCCCACAGGTGGAAGAGACTTAGGTTTCCTGGCTTGGAACACGTGCCCGACGCCTCTGGGTATCCGTATAGTGGGGGACAGAGAGCACAGACTGACCTGGAACCGTCGCCAAGCTGCGTCCCTGCAGAGGCGCCCTCGGCTTCCCCAGCTCCCTGCCCGCTGACGCTGCAGTCCGCTGCTGTGCTCCCCACGAAGCCCCTGGAGTCTCACTGACCCGCTGGCCGCCGCGTGGCAGCCCTGCACTGCCCGCTGCGTGTCCGCGCCCTGCTGCCCGCGTGCCTCGGCTTAGCGCCGCGTGACCTCCTGCCCTTGCGATGCACGCCGTGCGCGCTCGCCACGACCCCCGCGCCCTCGCTGCTTTCTGCCCTCCGCCTGCACCTACTCAGCGCCTTCCCCGCGCACTCCTCTTGCCGGTCTCTGACTGCCGAAAGCCGCCCCTGCCCCTGCCTCCCGGCGCAGCCCGTACCTGGTTTCTGGACCACGATCTGCTTCCTGGGGACCCTTTCTGCACGCCCGCGTTCCTGGCTCTGCCTGCCCCAGTGCAGCCTTCTCTCGGCCTACCGCAAGCTGCTGGGGGTTGGGGTGCGGCGCGAGCACAGCCTTCTCGGGAAGATCTGCTTGGGGCTGCGCCCTCCGTCCTCCGCCCACGCCACGTCCTCCACAGGTCTCTGCAGAGCTGCGCGGGCGTCCCCCCAGTGGTCGATGCTCACACTGACCCGCAAACTGCCTTTTGCATTCTTTTCTGTGCCGCAGCTAACACTTCTACACTTCTCACTGTATCCAGAGAGAAGTGGGCGGAGGGCAAGCATTGTGAAGTGCGTGGGGCAGGAAATCTCTGCGGCAGCCCTCACCTCTGAAGCCCTCGTAGCAGAGCGGCCTGGACCACGGGAAAGCGAACGTGCGCTGTTTGGAGCCGCAAGACCGCTCGCTCTCACGATCAGGCAGGAGACAGGACTCGGCCGAGATGAGGTCCCCCGCCACCAGCTAGGGCAAATTTCAAGGATGAGTGGGGTACGCCTGTGAATGCGCAAGCGAGGAAGGCTGGTCGGAAGAATGCCTTACAATCGGCCTTACAATCATGCAGTAAATCCTCTTTATTTTTCAGATAAATTAATAATTATTTCTCCAATATCTCCTTTGGTTTCCGGAAGTAGCTATAAGTCAGAAGAAATTGTTTTCCTCCCCCAAACTCAGTAAAACAAGCACACAAACAAACAAATGGAAACGTTGGCCAGTGGGCCCGGCAGGCCCGGCCTGTGGGTGGCCCGTGATCTCCGAGCGTGTCGTTTCAATGCCTGGGGTGCAAGGGCCTCAGCCCGTGAGTCTCTGTCACTGGCAAAGCTGCTGCCTGCATTCCCATGGGAATGACTCAGACTTCGCAAGGGAAAGGCCCCGGCGGGTGGCCTGCTTCTTAACATGAAGGTAGCATCCCTGACGGAGGGAGAGTCTTGGCAACAACAGAAAACGAAAAGAACATGAGCACATTGAACTCCTGGGGAATGGAGACAATCCCGGGCTTCGGAGCAGGGCTCGCATGGGATGCGGCCTTGGAACAGGAAGGAGTCAGAACTCTAATGCAATAATTTTCCGACTGTACAATCTTCAACACTTTATTCAACTTTCTTGGCTTTAAATTGTGTGTCTTGGGGATTGACAACTGGTGGTCAACTTGTAATGATATAGGTGGATGAGACTCAACCTGAAAGATACCTGGGATGAGTTGTATTCTCTAAAACCGAAGAATATATTTAGAAACAACAGAGATTAAGAGTGGAGTATGTATTCACACAGTGTGGTGCTGGGCTTGGGAGGCACCCCTGAGGATCACTACACACCACATAAGAGGTAGAACTGAAGAAGAAGAGGTGCTGCTAGGGGGCCCTTGTTTCCCCTGGAGGACCTTGTCTTGCTGGCTTTCCTGCTGGGAAGTCGGCTGTTCTCATCATTGGAGGAGCTCGGGACCTCATTGTCCCTGAGGATGGCTGCAGGTCACTTTGGGGAGCTCTGGCCCCTATCGTGAGCACTGCTTTCTGGCTCCAGTGCAGACCCCTCAGCCCGCTAGCACAGATCTTCCATCCCGCTGGCCCAGAGCTTCTAGCTTCCCCACTGACCTCTGGCCTTCCTGAGAAGATCTGTGAATCAGGCCAGCACGAGGCGTTGTCCTGGGCTCTAGGCGTCCAGGTGGAGCTTGCGCAGAGTGCTGTTATGGGCTCTAGGTCTGCAGGACACTGCCATGGCACCCTCAGCTGGATTCTTTGGTCTTTAGTGTGTGGACCGATTTCCTGCACTCTCTTTGTATACGACTCTTTGGGTGACTATTATAAATAATCTTATAAATTATGTGTTGAATTTCTCCACTTGCTACACCCAAACGACAACAGATCTGTTATGTAGAATAGTATTAGTATAATAAATGGGCCTGGATACATAGCAAGACCTTAACAAAGTTGAAACAATTAGGATTATATCTCTCCTGCCTCTTTGGGCTTGTTAGTATCTCTTACATGAAGCTTATATATGAATGTGGGATTTATGCAGTAATGATTCCTAGCACCTTCTGGGTGGTTTATATTTTCAAGGTTTTCTGCTAACCTGGCTCATACATATCACTGTACAACCCCAGGGAAAGCAGGTAGTATTAACCCAATACTCAGAAGAGGAATTTGAACCTTAGCAAATTTGGGTGATTTTCACTAGGCCATTCAGTTTTTTCATGGTAGAATTATGTTCCTCTAAAAAGTAAAGTGCCGCAGAGAATCCTGTACCAAAAGCACACCTAATGGCTTTCAGGAGAGAACATCTTTGCAAATGCTATATTTTCAGTTCAGGGGCAACTCAACCTCAGCTATTTTCAAGCAACTAGGCAATTTGCACTTTTTTCTGAGGGTCAGTCAGGCACAGAAAAGAACTCAATTTCCAAAAGCACCTTTTACATTTACTACGCAAAGCCTGAAATATCTTCATATAAGTAAAACCCATTTATTTGTCGATTTGAAACATAACATAAAGCACACAGTGCCCAGGCAGGTGGCGCCTCCAGGTTTGGGCTGAGCGTTCTCTCCCAGCCTTCTCCGGCCACTGGAGCTGGAAGATTCTGTCTCTCCAGCTTTCCATGATCTCTGTGCTATTACAGCTTCCAGGTACAGCTGTGCAAGGACTGCGGTCTTGCGAAAGACGTAAGACCTTTTGTTTTAGTCTGCATGTCACTTCCTTAAGAAATCACTGATATATCTCCTCAGATGACAGTTAAGCTCCCTGCTGCTGAGCTCAGACAGCACCAGTTGTAATCATTTCATGTTAAATAAACAGGTTTCTTAGTGGGCGCAGGGGAGATAGCTCAGAGGAGAAGCACCTGCCTGGCAAGTGCAAGGGCTTGAGTTAATCCCTGGTACAAAAAACAAAAAAAATCTTAATGTTTTCTTATTATACTGGTCAGTTTTTTTAAAATTAATACAATATACCTGACACCTCACACTTAATGCTGTGGCCAAGCAAAGTGAGTTTGGAAAACCGTAAGGAAAAACATCAGAGAAGTGGAAGGTTTCAGAGACTAAAAAGTACTAGTTTGCTTTCCATTTGAAGTAGACCATAATGGGATTCTCACAGTATATCACTGTAGATTAGGAATACAACTATGACTGGCAGACATTAATCCAAATGGTTGAATGATAGCTGTCACCCATGGGAAATGCTGTGAAAGAAAAGAACCAAAGAGAAAATGTCTAAGATGGACAAATTGAAATTTCATGTTATGAGAATCATAAGACAGAAGACTTGGCTCTAGGGTCATTGAATAGGGAGGTGGAGTTGTGCATTACACAATGGAAAGAGGCACTGCTCGTGTACTTGGGGCGACTTATCCTAGCCAGCTTTAGATGTCCTCTTGTTTGAATCATAATAATAAGCCCTTATTATCAGAGCTGAGCACATTCTCTTCTCTACTTGGACAAAACTGGAGCTCTTTAGTAGAGGAAGAAGAAAGAGTTGACATGCAGTAGGCAGCCAACACTGTCTGACTCACACAGGATTCCACCTCACTCAAGGACTGAATCTTCTGCTTTCTTGCAAAAACTAACTTCTGAATTCTCTGGATATATTTCCTCATTTGGTTAAAGGCAAGCACGGGTTTGTTGCTTAACCAACATGCAGCTTTGAAGTGTTTACTTTTAAAGCATCAAAGAGTGAATGAACAAAAGTTTCTGGGTGTGGTGTGCACTTGTGTAATCCCAGTACCTGGAACAGAGCTGAAAAGAAAGATACTCTACTAGCATACGGTGGTGGAATAGGATCATAAAATTTAAAAAGCTGGAGAATCAGTGGTTAGAATAAAAGTATCGCAACATTTAATTTTGAAGTAGGAGAGCTACTGAGGTGTGGGTGGGGAAGGAGCACGCATTTAGATGTTGGCTCAGTAATTATTATGTATAATATTAGACTACTTTATTACAACAGAACCTGCAGAGACTGGATTCACTGAATAACAACATCTAATTATATCAACAGGAATATCACTATATTTTATAGAGTGGGCCTTTTCCATCTGAAAGTTTTTCTGCCACACTTGCGCTTAGCAGTCCCTTTAAGTAGTATATGCAAACACTCTTTAGAGACCTAAGAGCTACTGCAGCACCCAAAGGGAGAGGGTTGAGAGTCTTCTACTTTATTTGAATGATTTAATTTTTCAGATTTTTCCAGGTAGAAAGTATCTCTAATGTAAACAACAAGATCAGCTCTTTCAGATGAAATAATGATATCAACTAACCAGCATTTCTTTAATAAATTGCTTCTTTCGAGTTAAATTATTCCCAGTGAATTATGCACTTTTGGGTGCTTCATGATGCAAGCTAGAAAAATCCAAATTAAAAGGGTTTAGTTTGGAAACATCTATACCTGCATAGCTCTTTCTGCATTTTACTTTTCTGTTCCTTTTATCCATTTGTTTGTGCATTCTACTCATGTTCTTACTAAAGGAGCACAAGCTTGCTGCTTAGTGTAAACTAAGGTAAATTATTCAGCATTTCCAAGATTTCATTTTTCTTATCTGTCTTATTGAAATAAGAGTTTTGGGGGCCAGGAGGTAGCCCAGTGGTGTAAGTTCCTACTTGGCAAGCACAAGGTCTTGAATTTGATCCCTGATGCCAAAACATTCTTGGAATGGATTCATTACAAGTAAACCACTGCTCAGAGCCTGGCACCCAGCAGGCTCTCAGGAAAGGTGGGTTTCCACCTGTCCCTGGTCTCCAGCTCTGCTCTCTTCCTTCTTTCTCATGTAGACACAGGTGTCACAGTATTTCCCTCAGCTCCTCTCTTCCCCCCACCTCTCTGCCTGAGCTCACCCAGTGGGATCCTGAGCACTATTGTAAAAGTCAACCACCACCTGCAGGTTGAATTTGAAAGAGCGATTAAGTCTCTAGAATAACCTCACATGGGATGCAGGAATCGGAATTTCCACAGACTCAGGAATTCATTAAGACCCATCCGTCAGGAAGTCCCATGCTGGCAGGCAGTTGAAGGACTTTGAGGAGGGCCTTGGGTCTTGCGGTTCTTCTGGTTGGGTACGCATTGACCATATTGTGGTGCAAATACAGAGAAAAGGTCATATTCTGGGTAAGGACAGAGCCTACCCAACCTACACTGGAAATATGCATGTGTCATCTCAAAGACTAGAAAACATTTAGGAGAAGAATTACCTAACAGCTCCTCCAAGGGGTTACAGCGTTTGAAGCAGGGCTGCACGACTCATTGGATCTCAGCAGGACAAGCTTTTTGGAAATTAAACTTCTGTTCACCCATTGCTCCTCTTTCCAAGTCTCATTGACTAATTGCTTAAGCATTTCAAGCACGTACACACACACACACACACACACACACACACACACACACACACCCTGAATGCTTACCCTTTCCTTCACCATACCAGAAAATTCCCATTATTGGACAGAATTCCCCATGTAACCTCTGCCTCTTTAATCAGTGAAACAATATCCTTTGCCTACATTCCTGTAATCAGTAAACAATTATCA